TTCATCTGATATTGACTTAAATGATGATTTTGGTTAAAACTTAAATTGACTACAACAAAGTATTGGAGGTATTATTAATGATTGATATATTTATGAAATTAGTAATTATGAATGATGAATATTGATAAAGTTTTAATGCAGGTGAGGGTGAAATTCGTCTTTGGAATGTAAGTTCACACTCCAAGTATATTAATTGGGAATACCTAGATCAAAAAATAGAAGTAAGAGATTTAAATGAGTCAATTTTATGGGTTCAAGGAGATCCATTATATATTGGTTTACTTGACTGCATTAAAGCAACATGCTATGAAAATACATTAAAGTTATTTTGTGGTTAAGTTAAAACTAACAAAGTTGCATCTGAAGTATTTGAACCATAGTAATGGTTGTCCATGAAAAGTAAAAGCATCATTGTTTAAAAATTCAACTAAATAAAAAATAACAAGGTAGGGTAGTAAACATACATGTGTCATACAATATCTCAAGATGTAACACCTTAATTTAATTTATAAATATTTTTTAAATAAATTAATTTCACAATAAATGGGAATAATAGTAATTTCATTCAAATAGTTCTAATACATAGTTTCAATAAAGTATTTCAAAATAAGGGAATGTTACAAGTTTGCATCAAAATAAATGCTACAAGACTAATTTAATTACATCACCATTTTTAAAATTAATTTCCTAAGTCCTATAGCAGTTTCATCCCTCCTGTTCACAGAGTCTTGTGTTGATCGTCATGGTCACTTGAAAAATAAATGTAAGGATAAGTACTTTACACTATCACACACAAGCACAGAGACTCGTCTTACACGTTTCACACATTTACTAACATAATTCAAATCAAGCATCAAACAAACACAAAGCAATATTTTTCAACATTTCACTCTAATTCACATACAGATGCGCTCACTGCACCATCGAACAATCCTTATACAACATTCACGTGTACTTACTGTACGTTAGTCACGCTCACTGTGGCACTGTGATCATAGTTTTCTGATACCCTCAACCTCAGGGATTTACTCATTTTCACACCATGGATGATCGTCAGTTAGCGCCCGCTTCACGGATACAATGTATGCGATCACAGGCCCTTTAGCAAAAGTGGTCGAGCCAAGAGGAGAGTGTGTGACCTGTGATACACCCACACTCACTATTGGTGTCACTACCACCCTCTCTTCTCCAAGGTATTCCTAATGCTCTTATCTTCCATACTCTCAGTATATCGCTGTAACCATTCATAGTTTCCAACATTTTCAAACACAACCACAATCACACTCAATATGTCATTCACACATATTCTCACCCATTTCATATTATTCGTCATCAACCAAATGGCATGTCAACACATACAATTAATCACATTATATTCCACACTAAATTTCCATCACAATCCAATTACAATCAAATCATTCTCATCTAATACACATCTTTTTACATTTTATTCTAATCACATTGCAAAGTATAATACAATAAACGAATTCTAAGTATAATGAGATAGGGTAAAATTTCTCCTTACTTCGGATTGAAGACCCAACACGAAATCAATAATAGAAATGCTCTCTACATGAATTTTCGTCTTAAACACATGAAAAACTCTATGAGAAACTGAAAAAACAAAGAGGAGGGACAAAAATCAAAATCCTAGCACTCAAATCCTACCTCCAAACGCGATTCTAACCTTTAATCTTGCATACAAATGGCTTTGGAGGCAGTTTAATCGGTGAAAATGAGTTGGAAATTGAGAGAATCGAAAGAGAGATGAAGAGAAAGAGTGAAAAATGAGTTTCTCGAACCCTAAACCCCTCAAATACCCTAGCAGTCGTGATATTCTCGTTGCAGTGAGACATCTCTCGCTGCAATGAGACCTCTTCTCGCTACAGTGAAAACATCAGACCAAATTGCACTTATATTTTTGCATAATCTCGTTACAGCGAGATCTTCTCGCTACAGCAAGATTGCACCCCCTTTGTTGCCCTCTAGATGCACGCCACTCACCCAAGACCTTCTTGCTACAATGAAAATGTCCTTGCAGTTCACTCTTAGCCTATATTTTCAATCAATCCAAACCATCCAATTTCAATCCATAATCAACATTTTATACTTACATATTTATCTACATATATACACACACATATTCATATCACCATATAAATCAAAATGCAGATTCAAACAGAAATCCACAATTTATATTAATAAACAAAATACTATTACAAAACTCGGGGCATTACACAAGACTATTGAAAACTCTATTTGGATTTGATTTGTTCATGCATTATTGGTATTACATACATAATTAGAACACATTTATTTTTAAATATTTCAAATCTTAGTTTTATGTGAGTTGGTTTATTGTTTTTGGTGTAGGCATGGTGAATCTTGAACTATCAATGCCTATAAGTCTAATTCAGGAAAGGATGACTACTCAATTTGAATATAAAAATTTCATATAAAATAAAATAGAAGACAAAACAAAAGGCTCGTAAGTGTCTATGGTGACTGCGATGAATCAAAGTTAAATGATTATGGTACCTTGCAGCATATGGAAGATGGGCTCGTGTGTGTGTAAAGGGGGAGTAGAGATTACTAGAAGTTAAGAAGGGGAACCTATCTTATGTCCACATGACAACTAGTGAAACTAACCTTCCCATATCATGCCAATCAATGTTAGTTCGATACAGAACTCCCAAAAGTGCAAACCACCAACTATATTGACTGGTTACAACAAAATCTTAAAGTAGAGGTAAATACCTTATTGAAACTCTGATGTTAGAGTGGTCGTTAAACATAAAGCCTTCAATTAGCCACAACATGTAAGCTATGACAAAACGAGTGTTTCGCAAAGGATTCTCTACATGCATTGCAATGTGAGTAAAATGTTGGTATAACCAACGCATCTTCAAGAAGCTACCTACAAAGGTATCACGCTCAAGTCGAATCTTTAGGAATAGTTACCTCTAGTGGGTGCTACCACTGAACTTCCATCATTTCATAACCTTAAAAGAATGGAATATCCTGAAAAGTGATCATACACTCTCCGAGAGACAAGTGAAATGTATGAATCTCAAGTCTCCATCTACCTACTAGTGCAGTGATCAATGAAATTTCTAATGAAAACTAACAAACTTATGCAATTTCAATAAATCCAGCAAATTCTAAGTAAGGAAGGATTTCAGTTGGAATACCTTTCAAACTAGCTGAAATAAATTAACTATTTATAACTTTCAAAATATGATGATCTCATCTATCTCAAATGTGCTCATATATATATGAATGCTCAGAAACTACACTAATAAAGAATTTTCTAGACTTGAATGAATTATCCTTCTCTGATTTGAAGATGAAACTATTTATATATAACTTTATGTCTATGTAAAGTAATAATAATTAAAAAAATAAATAATAACTTACTAATATTTATACAATACAATAAATAATAAATAATACTAAAATAATATTTAGATAAATAATATTAATGTACAACCTCTCAATCAACTATCTAAAATTTATTGTTATATTTAGTAATTTTTATTTATACAACTCATTTTCATTTATAATTATTTATTATAACTACTATCTTTTACTATTTTAATTTGTAAGTTAAGAATGATTAATATTTATTTCAATAATTTTTAATTTAAATTTATTAACAATATTCTGAATCCAAACATAAATTCAAATAAAAATTAATAATTCTATATAATAAATATATAATTTTAATTCATTTATGATTACTAACAAATTCTAAAAATTCTATTGTATTTATTTTTCAATTATATATTATTTTTTACCACATAATTAGTAAAGCAATCCATTAATTTGTAGAACATTAAAATACAAATAAAATCATTCGAATCCACAAATAATCAAAATAAATTAAAATACCACACGATATAATTATTATCATAATTTTTCGGCGAAGGTGGCAGTGGCGATACACAGAGACGGCGACAACAGCAATGATGGTGACACAGGCAACGACCCACGGTTAGACGCAACTGTTGATGGGAAAAAACACTTCTAACAGCTGCACCGAGCACTCAACTTCATAGTGGAAAAAGAAAATGGAAATGGAGAAAGGAGGAAGCGGGTGGGAAGAAGGAGAGAGGGAGGGAGTGTCTAGAATGGGAAAGGAAGAGGGAAGCCAGACGCAACCGTTTGCCATCATGACAAGTGGTTAAAACTTAATTTCATTAGGGACAAAACTTACCCTAATCTTGACACGTCTCTTCAAAGCTTTAACTATCAAAATTTAAATTCAAAATTTTAAAAAATTTACGTTTTTCGATTTCATTTCTCTTATAGATGAAACTCTCTTGTAGGTACCAAAAATAAAAAAAGGATAATTAAGTTAAACATTTATTATTAATTTCTTATCATCTATCTTTTACACATGTTAAAAAACCCGAAAAGAGAAACCCAAAGCATATAAATTTTCTCAAGACAACAAAATATCCAAGAGCCGTAACTTTAAAAGAGTTAACAGTGTTTTCCCCCTTTTCTTAAATCTTTTCACATCTAAGAGGACAATTTTCCTGAGTTCTATACCTGATATTTTTCATCTATTTTTCTTTTGGTAAATTTTCTCTTATTTGTGTATATACTCTCTTTATATCTTTCTGTTTTTCCCCTATTGACATTTCATTAAAATAATTATAATAGATAACAGGAATATAGTAAGAATGTAAAATTTGAGCTGAAAAAAATTGGAAGGAAATCGGAGTTAGAAATTCTCACATGACAACAGTGCTAGTTTCTTTATTTAAAAAAAAAGCATTTAAACTAGAAAATAAGTGGGGTGAAATTAATAATTTAGTTTTATTTCAAGATTTAATTTGGCTCTCTATATTTGGTTTAACTTAATCCCCCCACTTTTTTGGTGTCATGTGGGTACTCTTGGCAACTTTTCTTATAATGATACTCGAAATAGATTTAGCTAATGGTCCAAAGTACTAGACATGTCAAAATTAAAATAACTTGATATTGATCAATAAGAAAAAAACAAAGTGTTGAACCATGTCTATAAAGGACTAAACAACTGATATTATTTGTATTAATTATTAGTTATTTGCCTTCTGATTCAGAGGGTTAGCTAGTATACACTCCTTCCTTTAATACAGTACAGTTTAAGAACCGCACAAAGTATCTAATTCTTCAACGATACACAGGTTTGATTGGATGCAGAATTAAGAAAAGTCACACGTGAGTAACAACAATTTATTGATCACTTTTCTAAAGCTACCAGTAAGAGGAGGAAATCCATGTTCCACATGCAATGCATTCAAAATGTATCAGTTTCAACACTCTCCGCCTTCTGTTGTTGGATTCCAAAGTTTCCAACTTCATCTTGCTGTTTAATTGGTTTGTTTAGAGGTGCAAGGAAAAGTGGCTTGATTCCCACTAGCTCAAGATCCGGTGAAAACTTATATGGTAACTTGTTCTCATCCATCTTTCTAAAGGTAATAGAAATTCTGTAAAAGACAATTGTTTAAGAAAACAATGCAGTGAAATAGGATAGGATTTTCAAGTGTATAAATTTGCTACATTAAAAGGACCTTTTTGACGAAACAGATGGAATGCAGTGTTTAGCAATATTTGCTCCATTGCCATTCAAAACGAACACTGACCTGCATGATCAAAATGGTCATTTAGAATGTATAAATAATTAACAAATAAATAGTCTGTAATGTAAACATTAGAGCTAACAACCACATTATTTAACCAGTAACACAACGCTAGAGAAAAAAAAAATAGAGGTTGAGATCAAAATTTGATTCATATTTGATGGTAAGAGAAGAGGCGGGAATAGAAGACTACCCAACAGGCAAAGGAATGGGAAAGGGTCCTGAAAATTCTCCAGGAGAAACAACTTGCAAATTTGAACCGAATAATATTTCACACTCGTTCAAGAATGACACTGTATAGAACGGCCTCAGAAAATCGTGATGGTCAATATGAGGAGGAATACAGTCCCCTTCATCATATATATTCACAATGCAACTATCAGGAATGCAAGTGGAAGGAACTATATTCCACCTAATCATTCTCTTTATCATTTGCTTGAACAAAGGTGGTAATGGATCAACCTCTTCATCTCTGACTATGCCAGGAGGGTTCCCATTTTTGTCCTGTAAAATTTTGCAAAGATAAATAAATAAAATATCAAGTAAGAATGAGAAAAGGAGGGGTAAACTATGCCATACCACTGCGTAATTATAACAGCACCCAAATTGTATTGTCACACGTCCTTTACCACGCATCCACTTTCTTGGTTCAGAATATGTTCGATCTGTAAACAAAAAAGGCCAGGAGAAGTAAGAATATGACTTCTGTAAAACAATAGCAGAGACACAACAGTCATTGATTTTTAGACATGTCAAAAAATTGAATTCAGCACTAAAGCAATTAATTGTCATAGATTGCTTGATTGAATTGTAGACCGCAAACTGACAGAATGGTTCATTTTTATTCCACAATCATCCCATGTCATAGGACCCAGACATTTGCACACTTGTAGAGATAAACTATTTTGCTACAAGTACTAGTCTTTGAGATATGGTTAATGATAGTATCTTCTCCCCAAAACAATGAGAGGCAATCATTGCCACACTCTTGTGCAGAGCATGCTTTAAGATATTGTAATGTGTAAGGTTATGGAATATAGACCACATGGATCCAAGACCAGTCAATTTGCAACTATGGTAAAGTCACAAAGGGAAAAAAATTGGTTTCTGTAATACCTAAGTAAAATTAGTCAAATCTGATACATGTTATTTGATCAACTGTGCATTTAATTCCACATTTCATAATATCTAAGACCAAATGGTTCTTTGCAATCTTAGTTCTAATTCTAGCACTGTCAAGCATGATTCACAAATAAATGAAAAAGACTGAATGACAGAATTGAAGAATTAAAGAAAGAATAAGAAGCCCCACGCATACCTCTAAGTTTTCCCTGCTTTCCCCTCCATTGAAATCTGTATATACACTCAATAATTTTTCTCTGCTCCACGGGATTGAAGACCCCAGTGTGAAGTTCAAGCCCCTGGACCACATTTAAGTATCTCCTATTCACCCTTTCTCTGAAGGTAAAGTCCTTTTTACTCTGAACTTGAGAATACCTGATACGTTCCTTCTGTTCCTCTGATAAACCATTTACAACTGAATAATCTCCACCAATTCCATCATTCAACAATAACTCAAAATCAGATTTTTTGCAGCCCTCGAAATACTTCGGTGAAAAATCAAAACTTTGTGAAGAGTTCCTTGGACTATCCCATTGTTTGGCATGCCTTTTCGTCAAAGATTCTGAATTTGAAGCATTACCATTCACGTGCAGGTCTACAGCATCATCTCCAGAAGATTCAAAGCCTTCATCAGGAGACAAAGTCTCATCAAGCTTTCCTAAATGCGAAGCAATAGATTCGGACACGTTATGCATATGTTATGATATTCATTATTATTAATTTGAAAAACATGAATATTACATAGTCCTAAAGAAAAGAGAAATGAAAATTGAAACTCCACAAATAGAAAAAAATGTTATTTTGCAAAGAAGCAATGATTATTAGTCAATTATAGTATGAAACAAAGTTGGCTGAAGCAGGTGTTGAAAAACTAAACAGTGTGGAAGTGGAGAAAAAAGAGTGATACTTTTTCGAAGGGTTGTGATTCGAGCATGTAGAAGAGCCTGACAGTGGGAACAGAAGCCATCAGAGAAGAGTTGCAAAATGTCTTCCTTCTTCAAAGAGCTTAGCTCCATCGCCATGCCCAATTGCCCATCCACCACCAACAGTTTCACTGATCTTAATTGTTATTCTTCTAGCAAAGTCAAGTCCACGGAGAGAGAAAAACTAGCTCTGAGGATGTTGGTTGCAAACAACCACATCTGTTTTCTTTTCTTCGACTCTTAAATAATGATTTTTATATTCTATTTAATTATTAATAATATTGTACGTGCTTTACTTGGAGATAAATTAAGGCAATCCCCAGCCTCTTGCATGAAGCAACAAATCTAAACTTTTCTGTTTTCCTTTTTTGTTTTTTAAATATTCGGTCTAAAACTTTTAATGATCTTAAAATGGAAAAAAAATAATTTTTTTTTTACTTTTTTCTTAAATTCAGCATTTAAAAATCACATTAAGCATGCAATTAATTGAATAAAATTAAATAAGATTGTTTTTATCACAATTTTTGTGGAATTCTTGATTTCATTTTATCTAGTGCCTTAGCTTTCATATTCTCCCTAGAAATTTATACACGAAAGCCACCAACGCTGAACGAAATATGTATTAATATTAAGCTATATCTTGAGTATCAACTAGTAACTATGACGTGTATTATACGAATACTTTAAATTTAAAGGAAATAAAAATATATTTATAACTTAAAAAATTGAATTTAAAATTTAAAATTAACAATATATGTGACTTTTTAAATAAAATAAATAAATAAATAAATATGCTTAAAAGACACATTCTATATAAACTAAACTCTTATGTAAAAAACTGAGTCATTATTCTTAAAAATTATCCAGTCACATCTCATATGTCTTTCTTATTTTGTAATATATATTTTATAAGTCTTTATATCAAACAGATGCTTTTGTATATTTAATTAATTATTTTAAAAATAATTAATTTTAAAAATTAATATGAAGTACAATAAGATATTTATACATTATTATTAAAATTTTATCTACTGATTATGCTATTTTTTTAATTTTTAAAAATATTTATATTTTTATTAATAATAGAAAAACTTAAATATAAACCCAACCCGTGCATGGGCATTAAAAGAAAGAATGGGCCGTGAAATTGAAGCCCAATCCAAATCCAGTGTCTGCTACTGTAACATCTGAGCTTGCTGAGAGTGAGAAGAATGAGAAATGGAGATATCGTGTGCAGTTGCATTGGGAATGGCGTTTGGCGTTTCACCAATCCCTTCTCTCTCAGTTTCTGCGTCTACAACGGAACCACAGCACACTCACACTTCTACAAATGCCATCAAAATTCGAAGTTCGAAACCCTTCCAAGCAAGAAAAGCAGCAACACTTGAAGTTCAGAATGCTTCTGATTTGGCTTCAGCTCTTGCCAGGTTTTCCTCTGACCATCCTACGTCTTTACTTTCATTTTTCTTCGACATTATTCACAGCGTATAATTGTAACTGTTAGGGTGGGAGAAACGTTGACGGTCAAAGACCTCAATGCCACTTTGCATCACTTTAGAAATTCAAACAAATTTCACCATCTCTCTCAGGTCCTTGCTTCTACTTTCTGTTACTCATTAATTTAATTAATTCATACTTAAGAAACTTGCTTATTTTCCATAACATTTTCGATTATTGTTGCATTTGCAGTTGTTTTCATGGATGCAAGAAAACGATAAGGTTGATGTCTCATCTTATTCACATTACATAAGGTTCATGGCGAATAAAATGGATGCTGCTAAGATGCTGAAGCTGTACCACAGCATTCCAGATGAAGCAGCCAAGAACGATATACTTGTGTGTAATTCCATTCTTAGTTTCTTAATCAAGAATGGGAAGTTTGATTCTGCCGTAAAACTGTTTCAGCAGATGAAAGAAGATGGTCTGGTCCCAGATGTTGTTACCTATAGCACTGTATGTTATTATTCTAAATCTTGTAACGTACTTTCATTGCACTTGTGAGATTCAGTTGTTTGTTTGTTTCTCTCTCTAAATACTAAAACATATGGAGTTATGTTCTCTATAGTGTTTCACTTATATATTTGAGTTGTGGTTCTCTGATTTCTTTTGATATTACATTTAATTAACTCAGCGTGTTTGAAGTTATAACTTTAGAAAAGTGGGTCACTGTAAACTGCTTAATGTTCGATATTCTCTGCTTGATTTTATATTTTGGTATGCACAGCTAAATAAAATATACACCACTCTAACTTTGGGATTTAATTATTTCCTGTTGTCTAATTTTTGTTGTTATCATAAGTAGCTTCTTGCAGGTTGCGCTAAAATAGAAGGTGGATATCCTAAGGCGCTGGAACTACTTCAAGAATTGCAACACAATAAACTGCGGATGGATGATGTAATTTATGGGACTATTCTGGCAGTGTGTGCTTCCAATAGTAAATGGGAAGAAGCGGAATACTATTTTAACCAGATGAAGGGTGAAGGTCACTCGCCAAATGTTTATCACTACAGCTCTTTGCTCAATGCTTATTCAGCATGCGGAAACTACAAAAAGGCTGATATGTTGCTTCAAGATATGAAATCTGAAGGGTTAGTACCAAACAAGGTTTGTTTTCCTTGTGATTTACTAATTTTATGATGAAAATTTGTGATAATTAGTGTATCATATTGTGGTTATTTATAGCTCTACGTTACAGAATGGTAGAGTTGGTTGTTTTGTTTACCAACCCTTAGAAGCCTAGGAATAACTATTAAATCACGTTCTTTGGATGTTTATTCCCTAATAATTATTTATAACTTGAATGGTTTTAGATAATATTCATAGGAAAGATTATTGTTCACTTGACTTAAATTGATATTGGGACATTTGTAGGATATCTTAACCTCACCCTCAATGAACTTCTTTCCTGTCTAATATAATTTCCTTAAATGATAAACAATGTTAAGAATTTAATTAACAGCACTTTTGCTTTTGCCAAAAAGATGCTACTGGAAATTAGATGAAATGGAGGCTTGCTTAAAATACAATGTATCATCAAAGTTAATTTTGGAGCTAAAAGAACACCACCAAAGGTTTTGATAAACAATGTTCTCAGTATGTGAACAATAAATGCAAATAGTATTTTTTTTCTCCAAAAACAAATCTTTGTTGCAATACAGGTTGACGCAAGGTTTAGAAATAAGGAAATCAGGTTAAGAAAGATAAGTTAAGGATTGCAAAGAAATCAAGCTTCATAACTTATGAAGTTTTTCATAGAACTAGTCACTAGTTGAAAAAAAAAATCTCACCATCACATAAGTATAAAAAGAGTAGACCAAATTCATTAAGCATTTATGTTAAAATTTGTAATACCCTTAATAACAAGGATGTAAAATGGTCAGAGAAATTTCAAATTTTCCAAGTTTTTGTTTTTGCCTCTGGACATTTTTATATTCATAAGATGAAACTAATTTGCTTCCTAATCACTTCTATGGACAACAAATTTAAAGCCAAATCGATGATGCTTCTCTTTCTCGTTTCTCTCATTGAAATGCAAAATCTTTTATATGTTTCCTATATGTTGTTTCTGTTATTTGATTGAAGAACAAGTCTTCACTAAATTTGACCTAAGTTTATATAATAAAAATAAATAAATTGCAGGTCATTTTGACAACCTTACTAAAGGTATATGTTAGAGGAGGTTTGTTTGAGAAGTCAAGAGAATTACTAGCCGAACTGAAATCTTTGGGCTATGCAGAAGATGAGGTAACAGAAACCTTTGAAATGAACAATGAAAGGTCATTTGCTGTATTTGTGTTATCATTAGCTATACCTAATTGATGCCCTAAATTGATTTCACATCATGAATTATATATCCTGCTTTTAACCTTTTTGTTTTCCATGTCCTCTCTTTTTGCTGCTTATTTGACTAGTTCTAATCTATACACAGATGCCATACTGTGTATTAATGGATGGCCTAGCCAAGGCAGGACAAATACATGAAGCCAAACTAATTTTTGACGAAATGATGAGAAACCATGTCAGCTCTGGTAAGTTTTCTTTTGGAGTTTGCTTCAGTTAAACATCTATATAAATATTCGATTATTTGTTCTGAAGGCATTGACTAGTCACGTGGATTTTCAGGAACCAAAACAATATACAGTCCAATTAATAATTTTTGTTAGGCACATATATTTCTTTTGGGTTACCCAACTCATCTTTTATATTAGGTTTAATTATGTTTTTTATCCCTAAAAGAGTTACATTTTTTGAATTTAGTTCCTATAAAAAATTTTGTTAGGATTTAATCTCTAACTTTTTGAACTTATTAAAAATTGGTCTGTATCATCAACCGAGCTCAGTTAAGCAATGAGCTGAATAACAAGTCTAACTCATCACTACCATGTCATTTAATTATTTTTAATATTTTATTATTTAAAAGTTAATATTGCAAAGAAGTTCCTAATTTTTTTTTCTGCCTCCCTCTTTCCCTTTCTTCTTGCTTTTGCAACTTGTAAACACCTCTTCTTCTCTCCTTCAAAACCATTCTCTATACCCAAAGATCAAGCTCACACACAACAAACAACAAAACTTCCAAAACTAAAACCAATCCCCACTCAAAAACAACCCAAAAACCAAAATCCCATGAAGCATACAAAAAACCAAAGGGAACCCAGAATTGTTTTGCGAATAAGTGCCAAAAGGGATAGCTGGAAACACATTTGGAGTTTCTCTCTCTAACATTTCACCAACTCTTTCTCTCTCTATCTCTCTACAAGTTTTACTCTTTTTCCTTTTATCTGAGATGGGTATGTGTGATTGAGATGTGTGGTTAGATTTGGGGAACAACAAAAACAATAATAATAATAATTAATTCAATTGTATAGTAGAGATTAGCAAGGAAAAAGAAGAAGAAAGATGAAAAACAATGATAATAGATAAAAATAATTGAAAAGGTGTGTGCAATGTTATCAATGGCAAATGACAGCTCATGGCAAAAACAAAAAAAAACTGTCATAAAGTTATGGTAGTTGCCATGGTGGGTTATGGCGGATATAGTAAAATATATAAAAAATATTATAGGTCACAAAAATTTAATATAAATGCTCAAGAAATTTTTAAAATTAAATCATCATCATTCCAAGTAACAGTGTAAAAGAGAAAAACACTGCAGCATGGATGTTATATGTGTGTATGATCTTTGATCAATGAAAGAGAAATGATAAACTTTTTGGCTAGTGCACTAAATCGTTGAAGTAACAAAAGATTATCGTCCACAGGGATTAATGCTAAGTACCAACCCACAAAAATAGTACTAGTTGGATTACCAAAAACAGAGTATAAACAGAATGTAAAATTACTAAGTGCAGAATTGAAAGTGCCGGAATATTCAACAGAAACTGTGAGACTAAAAGTGGAATAATAAAATAATTGCAGAATATAAAGGTTTAATTTACTGGAAGTAGGTCTAAACACAATTAAAAGACAGGTTGAGTTCGGAATCCTTTATCCTTTTTCCTTTGCTTACAAGTATATGCATAACTCAAAATACAACTTCATCTAATGGTCAGATTTTCTAAAATACCCAATTCCAATTTCTTGGTAATTGGTTCTAAAATGAAATTAGTGTCCTAATTTCTTAGATACAACTAAAAACATTCAGCATTAAGATTTAAAATCTAACAGACCACATCATTATAAACTTTTATTCCTAGACAATTTATAATAAGCATTTTGGTTCCAGTCCAAAAAAGTTCACAACTTTCTAGCAATGAACTTCTTTTCATCAACCCCATTCACGTAGAATAGTGAGGCATTAAGTTCAGAATCAAAATGTTAGAATAAATTTTGTATCTTGAACTGTGTCCAATGTTAGTTCATTACAAAGGGTAAAGGTTTAAATTCATCCTCACTCAACCCCAAAATATTTAGCTAAACATGAGAAAAGTAAGTAATATAAAACTGAATTATATTACAAAAATAGAGTTCATGTTCACAAAAACGTTTGCAGCAAAAAGAAGAAATAAAAAGTTACTGTTCTATTACATAAACCAAAGAAAATGAGATGAAATCCAAGTTCCCATGAAGATCTTCTAGCAAAGGTATAAAGAAAATGCCCTACCATATTTTACGTACACTGTATGAAAACCTAAGTTTTTGTGCTCTGAAATTGTAAAAAACAAAGAGATAAAAGATCCGCCTTTTCAGAATTTTTTCACTTTTATATGTATCAGTTAGCATCGTGTCTCCACAATCAGGAATCTGTGTCCCACAAACCGGTCTTGCAGCACTTATCTTTTGCTCTTTAAGTTCAATTGCAGAATTTCTTTCTAATCTCTTCAAAATAAAATTGCCAGCCATTAGAATATGAGTGGTTCATAAATTTTTCAGCAAATATAACATTCCATTGAATTTTTTAATTAATTGCATTAACTTATAATTTAAATTCAATGAAATATGCCTAAAAACCTTTAATTTTCTAAATGAGTTAGTGACTCATCAAGAAACTGAGAAACTATGAATGGAGGAACCAACAACAATCATGCAATCTTCAATAGCTGCCATTGAATTTTTTTTTTTCTTTTTTTTTTTCTGCCTTTTTCGAATTTTAATGTTTTATGTAAAATGTTCGATAAAATGCTCCAAAAGAAATTGTAAATTACAGAGAAGAAAAGGGACTAATTAATTGAGTGAGAGGGAATTTGTTATTGCTATTGTGCATCAGAGTGCAGAGGGATGTTAAGAGTGTTAATGGTGTCATGTTGGCAGTTCACTATGGCTAAGCCAGAGGCCGTATTCCATGATTTCTATACAAAGCTTTAAGCTTTAGAACTCAAGAAGCTCCAATAACTTCTACCTCAATGGCTTCCATGATTTCCCACATTTTCAGTTTGTATGAAGAGTAAGAAATAAAGACATAAAACAAATGGAGGAAGAAGAGGTGTTTATAGGTTGCAAAAGCAAGAAGATAGGGAAAGAGGGAGGCAGGAAAAAAAACTAAATTTAGGGACTAATTTTTAATGGTGCTTGCCGTGCCTATAAACTTGAAATGAAATCTTATATATTATTTTTTAAATTGATGGTTATGATTATTCTAATATCTTAAAAATTAAAGGACATTTATATCTTTTTAAGATGGACCACTAACCCTCACTATCTATTATACATATTAATTTAATATAACATTAATGGTTATGTTATTTCATGTATGAAAGGCATAGAATGCTCCTTAATCTTCAAGGCACTATAGAAATTACCATTTTTAATAGGTTTAAAAAGTTAGGGACTAAATTCAAATAAATGCAACTTTTTTAGGGACGAAAATCGTAATTAAGCCTTTTATATTTTGATGCAATGAACAAGAAAATCCAATTCCTTTTTCCTTTGGGTTTTATGATGGTCTAGTATTATTCTGAAATTTATTTGCTTCTTTTACAAATATATAACCACTCTTCAGGTTTTAACAGATTCATATGCTATGTATGCTCACATTTTATCCTCCTTGTTTCTATATTTATCCCATCATTTCAATTTTTTATGTTCTGCTGGAATCTCTGTTCTTCAAACTGATAATTGATAGGTCTTCATGACCCTTTAACTTAGCTTTCTGTTTTAGTTTATGGTGCAAAGCTTTAGTTCTAGTAACTCTCCAAGGTTGAGATCTTTCACTAAGTAGTAATTAGGGATTTATTTCTGTCATGTAGATGGCTATGCTCACAGTATCATGATATCAGCATTTTGCCGAGGCAAGCTTTTTGGGGATGCAAAGCAATTGGCCAAGGATTTTGAAACCACCTTTAACAAATATGACGTAGTTCTATTGAATTCAATGCTCTGTGCTTTCTGTAGAGCAGGTGAAATGGAAAGTGTGATGGAAACTCTTAGAAAGATGGATGAATTGGCAATCAGTCCTGACTACAATACCTTCCATATTCTAATCAAATATTTCTGTAGGGAAAAAATGTATCTATTAGCTTATCGAACCCTGGAGGACATGCGTAGTAAAGGCTATCAACCAGTGGAGGTATGATATTTCATCCAATACTAGTATGAAGTCCCTTGTATCATTGTACCTAGGCTTCCTCAGTATGTAATTGTCATCTATCCTTTTTTAAGTTTATTGTTTGTACACATCTTTTTGCATCCCTGTGAGGATGAGCCAAGGTGAACGGTAAGTTTGTTGCCTTGTAGCCTAGAGGTCATGGTTCAGATCTTGGAGACAGTCTCGTCTTACCAAATGTGGCTGCATCTCTGGAAAAAAAAAATGAAAGATCAATAAAAGACTGATAGGGAGAAGGAAACAGAGTGTGGATGTGATGTTGCTCTTACCTGATTTAAGAAGCTGAAAATGTTTCATTTAATAAAGCTACTGAAATTGTTTTCCATCTTTAATCAGTTCAGTAACTGTTTCTTCTAATGCCTTCCTCTCTCTGTAGGAAATTTGTTCCACTTTAATATCCCACCTTGGCCAGGTAAATGCTTATTCAGAGGCATTTTCTGTGTACAATATGTTGAAATATAGCAAGAGAACAATGTGCAAGGCACTTCATGAGAAGATTCTTCACATTCTCTTAGCAGGACGGCTTTTCAAAGATGCATATGTAGTAGTCAAGGTATTCCGCATTCTAGGAATACATAAATCTTAATCTTTCTATTGCTATTGTAGTTAGTCTGATGAATCTTATCCTGTTCAGGATAATGCAGCATTTATTTCTCAACCTGTCATAAAAAAATTTGCCAGTGCATTTTTGAAGTCAGGTAACATCAACTTGATAAATGATGTTATGAAGACCCTCCATGATTGCGGCTACAAGATTGATCAGGTAATAAGCTTGGTAGTATATCAATTCAAATATTGTTATTTGAATGACAAATAACTTATGACTTCTTTTCTTTTTCTTTCTCTTCTATATAACTACAGCCACAACTAAAGAGCTCTGAAAACCAAAAATCATGCCTCATTGCAATGCAAAATCCCAAAATTAAACTTAATTTTGTGTTAGTTGGAATTTAAAAAATTAATTAGAAGTTGATACTAGATCCAAGTTCAAAGATTTTCAGACATTTGGGAGCTAGGGTTTGTGTTTTATATTTTATTGAAATTTTACTCTAAAATTAATCATATTCTTTTGTATTTTTTTTATTGTGCAGGATTTATTTGAGATGGCTGTATCACGCTATTTAGGTCACCCTGATAAGAAGGACTTGCTTCTGCACTTACTACAGTGGATGCCAGGCCAAGGTTATGTGGTTAATTCTTCAACAAGGAATCTAATCCTCAAGAATTCACACTTATTTGGTCGTCAGCTAATTGCTGAAGTTTTGTCCAAGCAACAAATAAAGTTAAAAGCACAAAAATCTCGGTAGATAGAGCATGCAAAATTTTGCCATTGAGATAGTGCTTGTTGACCGTTCTGTGTACTGATAATTCGAAGCTCCTAGTCCCCAAGCCTATGGTACCCTGCATCATGCACTCATTGCATCACTTCATTTTTGGTCCCATAAAATTTTCGGTTAAGTTGTGATTAATAGCTTATATACACCTAAATTCTTATGGTGTAGATTGACGAGTGTATATAAACAGATATAAATGTATTAAGTCGAATAGTTATAATATGATCCTATAATCTTTTGACTTCTGGTCAATAACCTGTCCTAGTGTCTGCTGGCCGGTGTATCTATCACAATCAACAATTTGTATTTTCCTTACAATGTTTGTTCTTACGCCGAATGTACAAAGTAACTTTTAATAAAAGAATGCTTGATTCTGTTAGTAAGACATAAAAAGGGAAAATTAAAATATTATTATGAAATACCTAATTTTCATTATCATTGAGAATAATTGTCGAGAAGACAATGTCAACATATGAAAACTCGTAGAGTTTCGTTCTAATATTTCTAAAGATTCATAAAAGGAAATAAATATTTATTATTCTATTACTTAAAGAAAAGTGTGTTAAATGCTTTTAAATTTCAAGACATTAAATATTTATATTTTCTGTTTAATAATATATTTCTTTAGCGTAAGCCACACATTAACAAAACCTACACTTAAATAAAATATATAAAGCAGACATAAGGTTAAAATTATGTTGTAATTTATCTCGTGCAATCGCATGGAATTACAAGTTATTTTACTTGGGGAAACAGAAAATGAGCGACATTAAATGACCTTTAACTGTGGATCTCCTAAAGCTTCTTGAACATACAACTTTAACAGTCAAACACAGGCATCTCAACTGGATACAAATGGATTCTATCTGACCATGCATTCGTTACATTTGGATCAATATCAGAAAGGCATTTCCAGACTGCACTGTTACACTTGAAGCCACTTCCAAAGGCAATTTGCCAAACCCTGTCTCCTTTCTTCATTCTTCCTTTTGCCTCCAAGTAGCATAGTTCATACCACACAGAAGAAGATGAAGTATTACCAAATCTATATAATGCCATCCTTGAGGCTTCTCCATCTTTCTTCTGCAGCTTGAGACTTTCCTCTATGGCATCTATGACTGCCTTACCACCAGCATGTATACAAAAATGCTCGAAAGTTTTCTTGAAATTTGGCACATAGGTTTCCTTATTCCCCCTTGCCCATATTTTCCTGCAAATCACTGACCAGCCATAGCGAAGTTGCTCAGAATATGGCAAGACGAGGGGACCCAAGATTGTTATATTAGTCCTCAAAGCTGAAGCAGCCACACTTAGAAGTGCCCGTGAGAGGGAAACACCCACAATCTCTTTCTCATCAGGTTCCTGGTAAACAGACTTATATGCTTTGTCATTTGATCCCAAGTGGGTTCTCACAAGATGCTGAAGCTTGTACTTGGCCATTGGCTTGTCTTGTTTTCTGTTGGATAGTAAAATGGCTGCTCCTCCCATCCGAAACAACACATTGGCAATAAGCTTGGACTTGGCATTACCTCTGTAGCCATTTGGAGCTACAGCCTCCATGCTAAGAACTAAAGCCAATGAGTTTTTGTGAACTCTGAGAAGATCTTTGGCCAAGTTTATTGACAACAATCCAGCACTGCATCCCATTCCACTAAGGTTGACACTCTTTATGTTGCTCCGAAATCCAAACTTGTTAATGATCATTGATGCAATGGATGGTGTAGGACAGAATAAGCTACAATTTGTCACAAGGATGTCAATGCTTTTAGGATGCACTTTGTGTTTGGAAAGAAGATCTTTGACAATTGTGAAAAGAACCAATTCAACTTCTTCTTTTGCATGCTTCAGGGAATCATCTGGTGGGAGCTCATGAACTGATTCTGGCATGCAAGCCTCAACTCCAATTCCGGATCTTTCCAATACTTTCAACTCAAACTCTACCACTTCTCTGTTGAAGTTGCACATTTCAAAGTGTTCTATGATATTGGAGTATGGAATACGCAGATTATCAGGAGGCAGATAGCAAACATAATCAAGAAGGTAGACACTTCTTGATCGGAAACAAAAGCAAAGTAAAATGAGAATTAGTGCTATGGCTGCTAAGGATTGTGTAATAGAGATTGAGCCTTCCGATATGACAGAAAGATTATAGAGAGAAAAGTATTTGGATAGAAGAGTTTCCATTGTCATATGATTAAACTGAACCATTTGGATTTTGGATTTGATCTATTAGTTCAAATAAAAATAACCAGCTTATTTTGGTGCAAGAAAGAGGTTTTAAAATGCAACTGCTCTCTCTTTTCATGCAGAGTGCTATTCCTTTTGTGTAACCCAAATTTCGCAAAACCAAAAAAAAGTTTGCATTTGGAGTCATGACATCTGCCTGGGGTTGTTGTTCCCCACTTTTCCCTCTAAGTAAATGTATCCTACTGGGAAATGCAACCCAATCCGTGCTTATCACAAAGTTTGTGTGAAGATCATTTTTCGGTTCTTGAAAAGAAACAAAGTATTTATAACAACTAGGACATTACAGCCTTTAATTTGCATTACAACAGACACCTTAAGAATGATTCTTTGAAGTAAATATTACAAAAATTAATAGTTTTTAATGATACAACAATTTATGATTAAATTACATTATAAAAGAAAATTACATTATGAGTGTATTCTAATTAATTTCACATAAAAAACATGCTGGTTGATTTTATTTTACTTTAAATATTTCTGTACTTGTTTTAGAAAAAAAAAAAACTTTTTAGAGACCATTCCTATGGTAGAGATGAATTTCAAGATGTAAATCAAAGATTAAAAATTATTGTTGCTGGGATTTTACTTGTAGCTAAGGTAAGGGCATGAAATGATAGGATGCACATATAGATAAAGACAAGATACAATAAGGGAAAAATAAGTTCTTATCTTAGCTTATGTTTGATGTGCATCACAATATCATTGTATTATTATTTTTAATGAATGTGATAAACAAAAAATAATAAAATAAAATATAAATTAGATTTAAATAATAAAATTACTCTTTCATCATAATTAGTATAATTTTTACAAATATTTTTTATTTAATTTTTTATTTTAATATATAGATTAAAAATTTAAAAATTATTCTTATATACATATAATATTAAAATTTGATATTAAAGTATAATAATTTTATTTATTAAATTTTATTTTTAGGTAAAAAGTTATAGTTAGAACAAAAAATAAAAAAATACTTTATAAAATGATTAAAATATTTTTTTTACATTTGGATTTTAAAAAATATACCTTTTAAAAATTATTAAAATATTTTATAAAATAATTATAAAATAATAGTAAGAATGTAACGAAAAAAAGTTATTCATACTCCCCCACCTATCACTCCCTTCAAGATAAGAATTTGAATTATGATGATAGAATATAATAACACATCAAAATAAACTATCATATCATGTTAATCAACAATTTATCATCTTATCTTATCTTAAGTAAACAAGTTGAATATTAAGAATTGCTATCAATTTATATAAGCTTGATTTAACTCTTAAGATATGTTTGAATATATAATTTATTTAGGCGTTTATTTAATACATTATTTTTAAACAATGACTTATGTCATAAATTTAATAATGAAATTTATTTAAAGAATTAATTTAAAAATTATGAAAATCATTTATTTTTTGTAAACTCTTTGTTAGACCAGCACTATAAAAATCCAAGATTAAAAAATATGTGCACTAAATGTGTTATTAAAAAAATCATGACTAGTTGGACGGTAGATATGTGTTGTTGGTGTTGCATTTATTTTAGACTTAAATTTGTTTTCTATCCTTACATTTTAATAAATTTTTAGTTTTAGTCTTTTTAAATATTTTTTTAATCCTTACTGTTTTTATAAATTTTTATTTTTAGTCTCTAACATGATATGGTCAAACTAAAAATTGACATAACAGTATCTCAAGGGATCAAATCAACATTAGGAACTAAAAAAAATTATAAAAAAGTAGAGAATAAAATAACAAAAATATATATATTTGAATAGACTAAAACAAAAAATTTGTTAAAATGTGAGGACTAAAAGCATAATAAAGTCTTTATCTTAAAGGGCATTGCTCTCAACCCTTAAAAGTAGCTTTTTGACTAAAATGAACTGAAATTAAAAATAAATTATTAAAATAATATATTTTGAGTAAGGGTGAGTAAGTTTAATACACTTAATCAAACTGAATAAAAAATAAAAAATAACATACATTTTATTTTAAATTATGGGTAAATTTAGTTGTACCTAATGATTAAAATTGAAAATTACTAGTCAAATATAAATAGTCTAAAATGTTGGCGTCAGTATTCGAACTTGTCTAAACTAGTATCATACAAACTTACATTGTACGACTTAGAAAGACACATTCAAAAATTAAAAATGATCATTATGAGCACTCATGTGACTAGGTCCATTTATTAGCTATTGATGACTACATCCCTTTCTCCTCTACGACAACATACTTTGTCAATTCTCCATGTTATGTCAAATGTTATGTCTACAAATAAATTGACAATATATGTGAATCAAATTTATACAAATGATACATAAGGTTTTTTTGAAATTGTTGTGATATTTTGTAAGAAATTGTTGTTAGATAAATTTTAAAATTGATAAAATAATTGTTTAAAGTGAGTGAAATATGTGTTTTACTTCAAACATAGTACATATATAGTTATAATAATGTGAACCTTGTTATTTTGAACTTATATCTTTTAGTTCATGCATTTATCAAAGTTCTATAGATTTTTCTAAAAATTTATGGTTTTTGAGTAATGAATGAATATTTAATGTTATTTTTATTCTAGAATTTTTCTCTTAAGTCACGAAAACATAGAGGAGATTAGAGGATAATATTTATTCAGTTCTAGACTTAAAAATAATTTTTGGAAATAAATAGTATAAATAAGAAAATTTTTGAAAATCTCTAACTAGATTATTAAATAAAAATAAACTTGAAAGCAAGACAACTATGAAAATTAATTTTTGAAACTTAAACCTCATTGTAAGGATCATAACATAGAGAAATACAAGGATATTTGAGAAAGAATATATAATGCATAAGAAAGATTTGATAAATGAATAAGAAAGTACTACATTTTTGCCTTCAAACTTGATTCTAAAAGTGGAAGAATTTGACTAAAATAATATTACAACTAAATGGATTGTATATATTGATATATGTACACGTGATAGTCCTAGAATTGTTCAGAAAAACATGTAACATGGCTGGAATTGATGAATCTTTGAAAAGAAAGACCTTTTTGCAAAATAATAAAGGTTAGGGACTAAGTTGTAAATTTTATAAGTTGAAGGAATTGTTTTGAAAAAAATTATAGAGATATATTATTTGAATTGAGGACTATTTTAGGAGCAACTAAGAATTGATTTCATTAAATTTGAAGTTAAAATAAATTAAATATGAATTATTTACTAAACTAGTCCTAAGAAATAGTATTTTGTGATTTGAAGTTAGAAATTGAGACTCGTGTTATAATATATACCTAATTAATTTATACTAAAATTTTCTTTATGAAAATATACACTTAAAAGTAAAACAAAGCCACTAGTTTCATAATTTTTAGACTTAAAATTAATAAGAAGATTTTTTCAATGTGTGACATATAAGTTGAAAATTCTAAAATGATAAAGTTCATGATAATGAATCTTCTCCTGTATAAGAGGATTACGTATTGAGCCGAACATGTGACATAAATTTATCTATGGAGTATGATTTGAATATGTTATTGATATGATGAAATGATTGTAAACTAATTGTATAACAAAGTGATTGAATAACGCTAAATATAAGTGTGGAGCAAAAAGTGATCGGTTAAATTATAACTAATGGGGATAGTATAGTACCTACGTTCTAACATGAAACCTTATCTAGCTAACTTGTGTTACAGGTAGGGAAACCATATTAAACCATCCTGACTAGTACTCAAGCATTATATGATTAGTTAGAGTGTGAACTGCAAGAAGTGTCCATTATTATTTGTTATAAATTGTGCATTATAATTTGTGGTCCTAAGAAGGAATAATATACCTTATGGCACTATCTAGACTGTGGCCATGGAATTCCTAGTCATTCAACCATAAAAGAAAACTAAAAATTGAATAATTAATTACTCTATAGAGAAAACAAAATTATTAATAGAAAGATATGAAAAACTCTTGATTTTTTATATTTTTTCTATTATTTGCTTTTATATTCATTAGTAATTATGTATTTTTCTTGTGAAAAAGATTATAAGTAATTTGAACTCACCATTTCTGTTTCTTGTGTTCCTTTTGATAATATAATGAGTGCATAATGAATTTTAGAGCTCCTGCCTAATAATGTTTGATTTTCTCTATAGGAGTTGTGCAATAGGACTTTAACAAAGTGAATCAGACGACAATTTTCACTAAAAATGTTATTTATACTAAAAGTACTATCAGATGAAATTTTCACTAAAAATGTTATTTATATTAAAAGTACAATTAATAACCCTTTAATTACTTCTACTATAATAACATATATGATTAGAGTTGAAATCACTTTTCCTTTGTATTCTGCAATGATATATAAGGGTAATATCTATCAGATTTGGTCGGTTTTAGATGGAAAAACTCTAAAACTATGTAAATTGATTATGGCATACCAACTTCCATTTTCATTCGAGACATCTACTGGATTGGTCGGGTCTTAACTAAGATGGCAAGCAAATTGGACGAGTGGTTTTTTTCGAGTCGTTAAGCATGGAGGAGAGCCAACATCAAAGAACGGAAGTAGTTGCCGGAAGAATAGGAATGGAAGATAAAATCTATATTGCAAACGATTTTGCAGTGTATTTAAGAATAGAAGATAAAAGCATCTACTCTCATTTCTCAACTAAATATGGTTTATGGGTCTTTTAAATTTGAAAGCAATTCAAGTAAAGAGAGATTGTTTCTTCTCTCACATGCTCACTGACTCACGTGCCTTTCTCCCATACCTATACTAAGACTTATGGTAGGATAAGTGTCTCCATCTTCATTGACCATGTGTCTTCATCTCTATCAATGTTGCACATATTAAAATCAATCTTGCAGCCTGCATTTTTTCAAATTAGATTTGATAACAAAAAATCTTAAATATAAAACTGAATCTAACCGTATATATCCATTACAAACCGAATTTTTTAAAATATTAATCTAAAACTCACTCTGATCCATTCATTGCATGGCTTTTTCTTCTCAGTTGGTGCGAGTTTGGTCAACTTGTTTGGGTCTGCCCACCACTAATGATATACGTGAGAATTCAAATTGACCCTCCGATAGGTAGACCTAGACCTTAGGAGCTATGCTGATTATGAAGTGGCTTTGTGATGGATGATAAATTTTAGTGATATTATAGTGCTATGAGTGTTTGAGCCTTAGGTATTCAAAATTTTTTATATTCACTCTCATAGGTCTTTAAAAATCTCTTAATTAGTTGCACCAAAAGTAAAACACAATTGTGCATATCCTCTAACATGGTCGTGCATGTTCACGAAACATTCTCAGGTTCACTGTTAAGCAAGGTTGTGCTTCCTGCTATATGTATTCATGCTTTCTATCAAAATTCTTCAATTGTAACCAAAATACTTTCTTAATTTTTTTATGAATGATTTGTGAAAATCTGCAACAATTAATGAATGAATAAATGTAAAATTCTCATTAAATAAAAGTCAAGCACATAGAAACATATCATAAAAACATCCCAAAATAAGGACTTATCACATGTCTACTCTTTATATGTGAATATGAATCAACCATATGTGTATATATAAGAAGAAAAAAAGTTAGAAAAGCAATCATATACTTTAAAAATATCAATGTAATATTTCTTAACAATATAAGACTATAAATAATTAACTTGTAATATGTCATTTTTAGTTATTTTTCCGTATTCCTTCTTCATGGTCATGTCGCAT